TGGACCTCCCTTATTCAAGAAAGTGATTCATGAACCTTCTCCAGTTCATTATTATACAGAGCACCTGCACCCCTAAGTGTGTCAGCCCTGTGGCAGCTACAGCTGTTTACACTAGAGAAGTCTAGGGGGAGAGGAAAGCATGTATATATTACTGACCCCCCCCATAAACATGCGCGCACGCGCGCGCGCACACACACACACACACACACACTCACTCACTCACTCACTCTCTCTCTTGTGGCTTCAGGGTGGTTTCTGCTGCTTCTCTTTTCTCTTAGGCTCACTGTTCACTACAGCCTTTTACCATGCTCCACTTAGTAGATGGTGCCTTTCCAGTATGCGCTTTTCTCTCTTGCGGAGCTGCTACAGTAGAGCCACCAAAAGTGCATGAATGTGCATATGCCAGGGATGAGCAAAATGTGGCCGGGTGGCCGGATGCAGCCCGCCAGGCCATTCTATCCGGTCTGTGGGCCCCCCTCACAAAATTAAGAAAATTAATATTTATCTGCCACTGGCTGCCTGTCATGCGGCTCTCAATGGCTTGTCAAAACTCAGTAAGCGGCCCTCTGCCTGAAATAATTGCCCGCCCCAGCATATGCCCTTGTATTTAGCACTGGTGGCTTGTGTCTGCCTGCTGAAATTTTGGTATCCAAGGCAGCTGAGTGTAGACACATCCATTGAAACCAGTGGGCTGGCTCTGTATCATCCTTGCATCCAGTAGAGAGACAAAATCAGCAAAGCCATTGGGTTTTGCTTGGCCACCAGCAGCCACAGTGTAGGGCAGGGGAAGAGAATTATGTGTGTCTGCAGGCCACAGGCAGTTTTGGGGAGCTGTTGCGGGTCACTCTTCTCTCCCCTTCTCCCCCGCAAGAGCCCAGAGTTTGCATGCCCTGTTGCTCCTCACCACCACCAGTGCCCAAAGCAGCTGAGTACATGGTCCTGGTCCTGGCCCTGGCCTGCCCCGCATCTGCTCCAGACTCACCCCATCTGGCGTGGACCAACTCTGAACCAGCTGGGACCCGTGTGCATAGCCCCAACTCTGGTGTGTTTTGCGCCTGCTCTGGACCTGCCCACCCACAATGAGCAGCAGTCGTGGCCAGGCAGAAGCTGCTGCTGGGCGTGGGGAAATCCCCCCCGCCCCCCACCGCCACAGCTGCTGGACCCTTTTTGCTGCAGCTGCCCAGAGCCTGTGCCCAAGCTGTCCTGGAGCTCCTCTTCACTGCCACTGCTGACCCACTGGGCAGCCCGGAGGCAGTGGTGGTGACTGCAGCAGAGAGGAGCCACAGGGCAACCCAGGTGTGACAGCTGTAGCAAGAAGGGCCCGGCAGCAGCAAGGGGAGGGGGCCACTTTTCCTCAGCGCCCAGCAGCATTTTCTGCCCAGCCACAGCTCTGGCTTATAGTGGGTGGGCAGGTCTGGAGCAGGCATGGGGCGGGCTGGGGTCAGAGCTGTACACACAGGTCTCGGCTGGTCCACTCCAGCTGGGGTGAGTCCAGTGGGTGTGCGCCAGGGCTCGGGCTGCAGACAGGTCCCTACCAGTCTTCAGGGGGCCAGTACCAGTACCAGCAGCAGCCAGAAGGAGCCACCCCAGCCCCACTGCCTGCCCAGGGTGACGGGATGTGCCATGTGCTGGACAGCACCTGGGCCAGGCAGGACCAAGGGACCCATCGTGGGCTGGACAGAGTCCTTTCACTGGCTGGATCCAGCCTGCTAGCTGTATATTGCCCACCCCTGGTGTAGGGGAAGTGCAAAGACGCCAGAGAAGTGTTGTTGCCCTCAACCCCCTGTCTCTTGTCATGCCCTGGTGTAGGAATGAAGTCAACTGTGACTGCTCTGGTCATGCTTATGGTACCAGAGAGTATCTAAAGATAGGGTGACCATATGAGACAATGTGAAATCTGGGGCACTGTGCCCCTCTCCTCCCCCTCCCCCTCTCAAGTCAGCAGCATTGCTGCAGGCAGAGGCGGGGAAGAGTGGGGGAGTGCAGGGTGGCATGGTGCAGCTCTGGTATTATTATTCAGGCAGCTAAGGGAGTCAATAGCCCATTAATGAATTGTTCTGTACTTCACAGGTGTTAAGTCATCTCCCTTTTTTCATGGTCATTCCACTAATCAAGCTAATCTATTTTAAGGCAATTTTGATGTCTGCTAGGGCTTCTTATTTCATGGCTTGTGTGCAGGATGCTTGTTTTAATTTTCTGTGGTAGCCAGGAGACCAGCCTCCAAAATTTAGGACTGTCTGGGCCAAACTAGGATGTATGCCCCTCTCTAAAGAAGACCTAAATTCTTCCTATTATAGAAATTTGCAACCGCATAACTAAATTGATTTAGCTGCTTTCATACATCTTGTCGTTGTGTTTTTTACTGATATAAAGCAGGGTCACCCCAACCTTTCACCAGTGCAGGTCATATACAGGGTTTTATGCGGGAGTGACTACATTGGTATCATTACCCCAATGTGTAAAATGTAAATGGGGCCTTAGCAAAGGGAAGCAGACCTTGAAGGGGAGCCAGCAGCAGTTCTCTTGAAACAAGACTAGATGGAGCTGAAGAGCTGTCATTTGTTAACATATCTGCTTGCCAAATCAATCGCAGAATATTTCTAACTGGCAGGAGGCCTGACCCAAGCATGAACTTCTGGTTGAAGAATAAAACCTGATTGCAGAAAGAGAAGATGGGGCTTCTCTTGTATACTGTGGGATGAAGGTGGAGAGAAGTGTGCAGCTGAAATCAGAAGCACTGACACTTCTTACCCTCCATCAACTTCCATTCCTCCCCCTTTCTCGTAAGTGCAGAAAATGCAAGAATGCTCATTCCATTTGAGATGCATTGCTGAAAACAACACAGGTCTTTTTCCTAGAGCGATTAGGTGATGAATGATGAGTAAAGGATGAAGGCCTAAGACCAAGCAAGAAGGATTTATTGTGTGTACTTGGAAAGATGAAGGAGCATTGCACATTTACAGGTATATTTGGAAGAAGACAGGCCGCTAAACTGTCTAAGTCTGGGAACCTGTGTCACTGACTGTTGAGACTCAGTCCTGATCTCCTGAAACCTAGATTACCTGGATTCACAGCTTCTTTTACATTAAAAAGATAACTTTTTTTAAAAAAGCATCTAAATTTGGCCAGGATTATGTAGCTGCACTGCACTGGCTTTGCTGCAGGCCTAGTTTCTTGGGCACGTGTCAGTTGTAGCGATCCCTACATTTAGCAAGCTCTGTCCCACTCAAGTCAGTAGAACGCTCCTCGGTGACCTCTTGCAAAATACTGTTTGCTCTCCCATTCCTCCTGCAGGGCTTTTAAGTCTCTGCCTTGAGGCTTCCACCCATCTTGCTTCACATGAGCTCAAAAGTCCCCCAGCCATTATATATGCTGAAATCTCAGCAAGCTGGGACTGCATGCAGTCTGCCTTCCAGCCAAGCCCTGCTGTGTATGTAAGAAGGCCCGATCAAAACCCTGGGTCCCAACCCAGTGTGGGGTCTGACTCCTGAACTGAACTGTGCAGCTCAGCCCTAGGCTCTTCCCTGCATGCACAGCTACTTTTGATTTTTTGGTTTGTTTGCTTCACTCTGTTTAAATCTCAGCCCGCCAGTCTGTCTGACTATAAAGCCCTGATTAGCAGCATGCAGCTTTATGCCTGGATTAGGCTTCTTCCCATGGTTTTGATGTTGGTCCGGGGTATCAATTAGCATCTCCAAAATATGTGAACCAGTTCCAGCAGATGTATCCTCTTGTCAGCTTTTGCATTTCACTTATGACTGACACCACCTGTGCTGTTGCAGCCCCTGCGTGATCTGCATCAGCAGCAGTTAAGCAAGTTCCTCCAGATGTTCTCAGAACAACAAAGAGCTTTTTTTTTTCTTCTTACCATCGTAGTAGCTCTTTCCTGACCCAATAGAGCACAGGTTGTGCGCACGTGGCCTTAAAACATCTTCACCCAGGATCTTTGAAAACTAGGTGCCCAAACCATGAGCCACAGGCTGCATAGCTTTTAGGATGATCAAGTGAGCAGTAGAGCTGTTACTATAACAATGATTGCTAGTCTGCCACTGACCTTTAGTCTGACCTTGGGCAAAACATAGAATGACATAAACACTAGTATAGAAGGGGCATCCACTAGTCCAGTGGTTCTCAACATTTTTTGTACCGGGACCCATTTGTAAACATCAACGCCCAGTCCCAACCCAGTGCCCCTCACTCCCGACCCACTGCCCCCCACCGCCAGGCCCCAGTCCCTCAGTGTGTGGGGCAGGGGTTGTGTGTGGGGGGCAGGAGAGGCCCACAAGCAGTTCGTTCATGGACCTTTCATAGATTCTTGCTACCCACGGGTTGAGAAATGCTGACCTAGTCCAACCCCCTGATCAGGGCAGAATCATCCCTTTTCTAAACCAGCCCAGATGAATGTTTGTCCATCCCGCGCTTCCAAACTTCCAAGGATGGAAATTCCAGAGCCTCTCTCGGTAATCTCCTCCAGTGCTTCCTGATAGCCAACCTCAGTCTCCCTTGTTGCAATATAAGACTAATTCTTGTCCTGTTTTCAGCAACATGGAATAATTGATCACCAGCATCTTTATAACCACCCCTTTTGTACTTGAAAACTGTTATCAAATGCCCGTTCAGTCTTCTTCAGACTACATTGTAGTTCTTTCAGTCTACCCTCCTATGACATGTTTTGTAGACCTCTAGTTGTTTGTGTTGCATACGTCATTCCTGTCAATAGATTCTAGTGTGATATCAACTTTTTATGCAATAGCATTGACTCTCATGAAGTTTGCAGTGCTCTATAATCCCTGATTCTTTTCTGCAATAAAATTACTTTTCACTCTCCCACAATCCCTTTCCCCTCAACCCTCACCAGCATCTTCTGTATAATGGACATAGCAGTACTTACCTTCCGTTGAAATATACAGATGGAAAGGCATTAAGTAAAACCTTGTTCAGTTTTTAATACACTGTAAATTAATATTGCTCTTTCTTTCTCTCTCATTTCTTTTTGACAGATATGTCACCTGGGACCTAAAGGTAACTGGCAAAAGCTTCTCCTGCACAAGAGGAGGGAAGAAAAGCCTTGTTCCAGAGCCAGCCCTCAGGATGTGGACAGCGGTTGTATTTGTCCTGTTGATTTACTCATGCATATCTGAAAACAGAATTTCCATCTTAAAGGAGCGAGGGGCCCGGGTAATACAGATAAACAAACTAAGCAGTGAAAAGCAGTGCAGACAAGCTTGCAAAAACCTATCTGTTTCAGGTGAGGCCACCTTCCTTTAACTTGAAAGCAGTCTGCAGTTTTCCTTTGCTTTAAAGATCTCTACCCTTCCTCCAGAATCCCTCCTTTTTTCACTCCACTTGTTTACAGTTGTTTATAATTATGGCTTCTGTGTGCAGTCCTGTGGTGGCTAAATAATTTCTGACAGCTTTGTTTAAATTGAAAACAGAACAGCCATTTCCCAGGGCTTTTCTTGCTTCCGTAAGAAGCAGCATTCATGCGCTCCTGATGAGTGCTGATAGTGTGCAAATGATATTATGTCACTGAACTCTAATGATCAGTGGACCACACAGACAGATGTTTGCAGCTGTACAGTGCCACAGTTGACTGCTGTGCTAGGGTGAGCAATTTTTGCTGCCCGATATTTCGTCTTGGGATTTTTCTGACTTGCAAGAAAGCAGATGTTCAGTCCCCACTAGCTTTCCTGAGAGGTGAGGAGAGTGATGATTTGGGGTGTCCAGTCTGAGATGCCTTAAAAGGTACCCTGGTTTCCAGTGGGGTTGCATGCTCACCTCTCAAATCTGGCCTTTTTGAGATGTGTTCATTTGGGTGCCTAAAGTCATTAGCCAGTTTGAAAAGTCTTGGCCTTGGTTAAAAATAAATAAATAAATAAATTGGAGCGGTCTGGGTGAAGTAAATGGACTTTCATGAGAATCTCTGCACCGGATTTGTCTAGTTTCTCTCCATGTGTTGGTTGGTAACAGGAACATCATCAAACTGCTTTTAATACCCAGTACTTTCAAACTTGGGTACCAAAAATATATGGCTTAACTTCCTTCCTCCACTCGTGGATCTGCCACAAAGGGGCTAGGCAAATCCACAAATCAGGCCAGTGATTTAGGAGCTCAGATGTGGATTTATGTGCTAAATGTAGGCCCTGAAGGTAGGAAACTCTTAGTCTCTGCTCTTCCAGGTGGCCCAGTTGTTAGAGACTATACCCACTTCCTGATTATAGTGATTGACAGAAAGGAATCAGAAGAAGTTCGAGTGCTTCACACATGTCAACTTTAGGCTCTCAGTTCTCCTTAACCATTGGCCCATTCTATTCCCTGTCACTCTTCCTCATTAGAATTGTTATAAGAGCATGGTAGTTTTCCATCAGGGGATACTGAGCGTAGTTCCCGTGGGCAAGAGTAATTGGTTAAGAAGCCTCCTGTTCCAGTTTCAAGAAGTACTCTCTAAATTGCCCTCCCCCACAGCAGAGTGCAGAGCTGCAGCTAGGCTGGACCAGCTCCAGGCAGCAGCTCCCTCCACAGCCCAGTAAGCAGGACCCAGTGCAGGAGGAAGCACCACATTGTCATAGCTGCCAATGTGAGGCAAAACTCTGCGCTACTGCCGCACCTTACCGTGGTGGCCATGGTGGCACAGCATTCCTTTCCACACCAGGTCTCGTCTGCTGGGCCATGGAGGCAGCTTCTACTTGGAGCAGGCATGTGCCCCCTGCCTCCCCTTTTTTCCCTCTCTCCTGCCCCCATAGACTTACCTGGAGGGAGCTGCGGGAGCTGTTCACTACCTTGCCTGGCTGTCATGTGCATGTATGCATGTGCACATACACATAGTACCCCTGTGTCTTGCTCCCCACAACTCTAAGCAGCCTGTTGCATCCTGGAATTCAGCCAACCTGGAAAAACCCTCAGTTTCCCACATTTTTCTCCATCAAAGGAGAAAAATTTTCTCTTTTCAAAGAGAAAATGGCATTTTTTCTTGGCAGATGGAAAACCTGGATCTCTGGTGATCATGTTCCTTCCCCACTTAGGGAGTAATAGAATTTCTCAGGAGTCAGGCAAGGGAGGTGCGTTCTCCGCTTTGTTTAGGAGCCTGGCATAATTTTCCTGGCCATGGGCAGGAGTCCAGTTGTTAGAAGGAAGGATCAGTGATGCTCTAGTTGAGCTCTGCTTCCAATCCTACATTCCACCTGAACTCCTAGTCTAACTGGACGTTTCTCCAGAAAAGAGAGCGTTGAAATAGTTGATATGCAAGCTATTCCTGTTCAGGCTTCAGAATTAGTGCCCCATTTGAGACGAGTGAGGCCTCTTAGTGTGTCTTTTAGTGCTGTTGCATCAGAACATCTGCTTGTGAATTCAGGCCATGGGTATGTGAGCAGGTTAACCCACAGCAAGTCAAGCTATCCCAGTTTATGAATGCATGACACAGTCTTGTCTCAACAGTGGCAAACACCACTTGACAAATCAAGGACCACTTTCTCACATCTTCATGTTCACAGCCTGTTTGCTTTTGTCCGGTTGTAATTTGTGACTGGTTTATGCGTGTGTTTTACCTCTCCATTCATGTGTCCATTGCCTCAGTAAGACTGACCTGTCAGATGACCCATTAAGATTTTTGTATTTGCTTACTATAATTTCTTGCATACAGGATGCCCCTATATCTATCATGCACCTTGTTTTTGAAAGGCAGAATGAAGAGTAAAAAATATGTCTTGTAGAAACCGAGTAGCAGCAGTTAGAGAGCTGAGCCTGCTCTTAAGCTTGCTACCAGCCCTGCATGCTGGATGCTGCCCTTGGACCGACCCCACGTCCCAAGGTCTGTACATGGCCCAACCCCATACACTGGCCCAATGCAGCACTCAGGGCTATGTCATCTGCCTGGAGGGCTGTCCATTGTTTTGTAATTTGGCAGCAGGAGAGTGGTGGCAGCATTGGAAGATAGAACTGAGTGCATACTTGGTAAATATGCAGATTATAACAAACTTGCAGTTCGGGGAATTGCAAAAACTCTGGAGTGAAAAGCCTTCATTTCTAAAGTTCTGTGGTAGGCAACAGAGGGAATTAGAAAATTTGGGATCTGTTCAAGAACTTCCAGAGATGGATAAAATTAGTACTAACTGCCATAGATTCAAGCGGGTAGGATGGCATGATCAAACCTGAAACAATAGATACATAGAGGATATTGTACTCGAATAAGTTCATCAATCAGTAGGTTGTAAATTGCTTGGCACCAAACGTGATTGATCGTGAGGAACACCTGTAGGACAACACAACAAAAACAGACATGGAAAGGTATGAAGGAATGCTGTAAATACAAAGATCATCAATCAGCAAATTGTAAGAAGCAATAATACAGGCTCAGTGGAAGCATTTCTAATGCATAAAAAGAGTAGAACAGAAATGTGCTCTGGATTTGTGTTTAAACCTGCACTATCCCTGCTGTCTGTCAATCTGATCACATGACTGATAGTATGAATGTCGGCTACATTAAGTATATGCTTGCTGAATAACTACAGGTTTCAAACCGTGTTGTAATAGAACCTAATAAGTCCTATTAACAGCCCTGAAGGGAGGGATTTGATAACAGTCTTCAAATACCTGAAGGGTGGAGATAGACTGTTCCTGGTGACTGCAGGAGATAGGGCAAGGAGCAATGGGCTTAAATTACAGCAAAAGAAATATAGGTTGGGTATTAGGAAGAACTTTCTCACTATGAGGGTGGTAAAGCATTGCAGCACAGCGCTCGGAGAGGCTGTGGAATCTCTGTTCTTAGAAACTTTTAAGAACAGGTTAAACAAACACTTGTATGGGTGATTTAGGCCTGGAGAATCTTGCCTTGACAGGGGGTTAGACTAAATGATCTCCTGCGGTCCCTCCCAGTGTTTATACACGTGCTGCAAGAATGGGGGAGGGGGTTGGGCGCTTTAATTAGCGGCTCCAATTAAACTGCTCTAATTAAACTGCCCGGAGCATCCAGTGTATCAGCGTCCCTGCGCTTCAAAATGGCAGCAGGGGTGCTTTATTTAAAGCACAGGGACATTGATGCGTGAGATGCAGGAGGCTGCTGGAGCTCAGTAATTGCCATGCTCCAACAGATTCAATTCATCAAGTCTGCTCCGATTTGCTGGAAAATTAGCATGTTGAGCAGCCTTCCTGCTCGTGTGTAGGCACCCAATGATTCTACTGTACCAAAAGAAAGTCATAGGCCAGGTTTGGCCACCTTAGCTATGTTGACTATGGGGGTGGGAAAAAAAATATCACCCCCAAACTGACATAGTTACACCAACCAAAACCCCACATAGGAGCAAATGATGTCTGCAAAATGGTCCTTATGCTTGCATAACCTATATCACATGAACAAGCAGTACAACGACGCATCGGCAAAAGAATGCCTTTTTGTTAGAATAAGCTGCATCTGCCCTCAGAGCTTTATTTTGGCTATACAGGCAAAGCCTTTGTAGACTAATTTAGCTCCTAGGGTAGTCTGTTATGCAGAGGAGTAAAGATGCCTTACTCCATAATAGTTTATTGTCCTTCCTGTGGAGGAATGAGCTACGTGGATAAAACCATGTTCGCATGGGCTGGGGGTGTGCCACTTCAACTGTTTTGGGAAAGAAGCAAGACTTGCTAGGGTAGATGACCCCCTTATATTTTGTTCACTCAGGACAGGAACATTGTTATCTTTTTCCAAGGCCACAGCTGGGGCCTATAAATAATAAAGATGAAGACATCTTGAGCATTTAGCCATGATGCTGCCATCTGGATTCTGTGAGGGTGAATGTGCAGAGCCCACAAGTCCTGAGGGTGCAGTTTGGTTTGTACAGATCGCATTGTTGTTCCTACCCGTCCTCCCAGTTCTGTTCTTTGTAGCCAGCTCCAGGTTGAAACAGAATATTTCAGGTGATTTTTATTCCCCCGCTGGTTCACGGAAGCAGGGCTGACTCGCTGTGATTATGTGATGGTTCTCCAGTACACTGTAGAACAAGGGACAGCACAGCATGTCTGCACAAGCAGTCATCCTTGTTCCCGACATACCACAACACACCTGTGTGCTTTGTTCCCACTTGTCTCCAGAGATTGTTGTTATCTCTTGTTTTGGAGGCTGTGAATTTTAGGAGTATCCTGTGTTTAAGTAAAAAGTCAGTTGTATTCATGGCCAAATCCTGGGGGGCCTTGCATATCCCCCTTTAAAGTGCCTATGAATGGGTTTATATTTTTTCAGTTCATTTGGTATCTCGAATATCTTTTGAGGTAAGTATGTGGCTGACTGACTATTTAGACAGAAGAGGAAACGTGTTGTTGGGGTTGTGCCTGCCTTTTTCCTCCCAGGAAGTCAGGAATTGTAGTGTCCATAGATTTCATAGACGTTGTGGGCTAGAAGGGACCTTGCACGATCAAGTCCAGTCCCCCTGCCATAGGCAGGATGTCTGCTGGGGTCAAATGATCCCAGCAAGATAAGCATCCAAAAGTCTTGTGAATGAGTTCAGAGTAGGTGCTTGCACCACCTCTGGGGGGAGTCTGTTTCAGACCCTGGACACTTGGACTGTAAAGAAGTTTTTCCTTATGTCCAGTCTAAATTGGCCTTCCAGGAGTTTGTGGCCATTAGACCTTGTTATCCCTTGGGGAGCCCTAGTAAACAGACATTCTCCCAGATCCTGATGCACACCCCTTATATACTTATAGGCTGCCACCAAGTCCCCCCAGAGCCTTCGCTTCTCCAGGCTGAAGAATCCCATGTCCCCCAGCCTCTCCTGATAAGGCTTGCCTTCTTGGCCTCCTTTGGACTCTCAAGCTTATCCATGTCCCTTCTGAAGTGGGGGGCCCAAAACTGGACGCAGTACTCCAGCTGTGGCCTCACTAAGACCAAGTAAAGCAGGAGGATGATGTCCCTAGTTTTGCTTGAGGTGCATCAGTGGATGCACGCCAGTGTTTGGTTTGCTTTGCTGACCACGGCATTGCATTGGTGGCTCATGTTCGTCTTGTGGTTAGTCAAGACCCCCCCCAAGTTTCTTTCGGTCGTGGTGCTAGTGAGCATAGCACTGCTGAGCGTATAAGTATGATGCTGGTGTTTCCTCCCAAGGTGGAGCATCCTGCACTTGTCTACATTGAATGCCATCAGGTTTTGGTCTGCCCACCTTGTGAGCATGTCCCCAGCCTGTCTTCCAGTGTGACCACCTTCCCCCATAGATTAGTGTCATCCGCAAACTTTGCCAATCCACATCTGACACCAGAATCCAGATCATTAATGAAGATGTTGAAGAGCACTGGCCCAAGTACTGTTGCTGCTACTGTTCCAGTCCAACTGATTTTGGTATCCTGCACTGGCAGTGGCATAACAAAGGGTAGGGGACTGGTAGGCGTCGGAATTTATCCCGCGTCTAACTACAGGAAACACTGCTATATGAAGAATGATAAACTCCTTCATAACCCCTACCATGATCAGTTTCTGCCCCGAAGCATGCTGTTCAAGTGTAATTTGCTGAGAACTGTTGATATCCTCTTCAGTGTCTGAAACCATTTAAGATGCAGCTCCTATCTAAGCAATTTACTACCTTAAGGTCCTGATCCTGAGAGAGTTTGGCTGCTTTCAGTCACTGTGGAAGCCAGTAAAATTCCACTTGGCTGGTTTTGAGTTGCCAAAGCTTGAGGAAAATGCTCTTTCCCCAAGTTTATAAATCTTCCAGAAGCTTTTTTGTGTTTGTTGACACTTAGATAATGTTAATGATTTATTTTTAAAACTTCAAGCTTCCCATGGTCTGCAGTGTAAGCAGGTGCCTCCAGAGAGAACTTTTAAACAAAATACATCCCACATAGAGCAGGGGTGGCCAAACCCGGGGCCCTGTGTGGAGATCATTGACACTGGGACATGGGAGTCCCAGAAGCTTTGCCTTGCAGCTCTTTCCGGTCAAAACTTTGGTTTGCAGTTAGGAGGGTTAGGAAGTTTGGCCTCTGTTTGTGCATATAAAGGACATGCCTGACACATGATTTTTCTCTGCCCCTCCTTACACTGAAAGCTTTCAACAAAACATGAAAATGATTCATTTCCTATACCATGCACTGACATCTGCTAATCATTTTAATATTGACAAATTAAACGTTCTGCATAACTGATCCCTTTTAACTTCACTGGAAGCACTCCCTGCTGTCTGGTCACACCTCTGTATCGATTCCTCCTCCCACAGTCACTGTATTTCAGCCTCATTGGGTTGCGTGTCCATTTTGCATGCATGCTCCAGGATGTGAAGGCTCAGAGTATATTAGCCATAGTAAAGGGACAACTGTAAAGAGAACTCTCCTAGCTCTGTCTTAAAATATGTGCTGTGGCTTTCCTGAAGAAGAGGCAAGATACAGCTCCTCTAATGCTGCTCACACTTGTCCAGCGTTGTTGCTGTTGACCTACTGAAGGTAAAATTGGTTTTAAAGATTCAGGTAGAGAGTTTTGTGGATTGACCTACTCTGGGGCAAACTTCTGATGAGGACAGCTCTATTAGTTTCTTTGGATTTCCAGCCACGGGTCAGAAGTTTGAATGTGATTCTAAAATGTTGAGAGTAAGTGGGTTTTGCTTCATGGATGTTTCTGCTGTCAGACTTTTAGGAACTGTAAGTCTAATTTGGAATTGAAATCTGAATGAGGAGAACTCTGTGGGTAATATCTGTGTGTTTCGGGGTGTTCTTTTATCGTATGTTTAAAGAAACAATGGAGCGAACTGAGATGGTTTTGCTATCAAAGTGAAATCCCAGTCCGGGCAGGTGGTACTACTCTTGTTCCCACAAATTTCAAATTAGGAGTGCCTTTTATTGTTTCTCTTGTCTTGTGTTTTAGGTCATCACAGCTGCAACTGGTCCATGTTCTACCAGAACCATTGTGTCCTCTTATATTGTCACCACTTGGGTGTGTGTCAGAATGCCAGAGCACAAGACATTAAAGAACTCCTTGGAGGTAATTCCTCAGTGTAGGGCTTGTGGTAATAACCAAATGCCTTGTAAGCCTCCTTTAATATGATTCAGTCTCTTATTTTGGTTTTAATCATAAATACCCCACACTCAAACCCTAGAGGTTTTGGCTGAAAGAAGACCACATGATATTTCTGCACTTTAGATTGTGTCCATTAATTGAATAGTGTCCTGATAGCTGTGATGTCGGAATAGCAGTATGACCCTTAAGGCCCTTTCAACTGCCCCCTGTTAAAGGGGTCATTCTGTCATGTTACTTTGCAGCCTCCTCTGTCTTGGATAATAAAGGCATAAGGATTTTGGGGGGGGGTTAAGAGAAAGGAGGATGCTTTGGCTTTGCTTTGACTGCCAGGATGTCATGCCAGAAGTGGCAGGCTGTATGTGTAAACATTATCAGCTGGGAACCTGGTTTTCTCTTATTAAAAATTGCAAATTCTCTGATTAAAAACCCAAAATCCATGATAAAAATTAAAGGCCCCCCCAGCCCCCACCCAGCGCTGCTGGTGCCCCTCGCTTCCTCAGAACAGACCCACAGACAGCTTTGACTGCCAGGATGTCATGCCAGAAGTGGCAGGCTGTATGTGTAAACATTATCAGCTGGGAACCTGGTTTTCTCTTATTAAAAATTGCAAATTCTCTGATTAAAAACCCAAAATCCATGATAAAAATTAAAGGCCCCCCCAGCCCCCACCCAGCGCTGCTGGTGCCCCTCGCTTCCTCAGAACAGACCCACAGACAGGCAGACACAGATGCACACACAGACACTGACACCCACCCAGACACTGACACCCACCCCAGCAGGTAAGTGTGTGTGGGGGGAAGGGGTGGGCAGGGCGGGGGAAAGGGAAGGTGCTGGGGGGTAGTTCAAGAAGAGCAGGAAGCATGCTTCTGTGCCCACTTCCAGGAGCAGGGCCAGGGGGTGAGGGCAGGGGTGCCACTCTGTGGGCCACAAACATGCTGGC